CTACTACTACTACTACTACTACTACTACTACCAATCCCATATAACAGGAGTACTCTCCCCCGTCTTCTAATTAGGGTGATATTTGCGATCGTATAAGTGAGCCCTCATTCTGAATAATTTCCCTCCACATGCCTTTTGAAAATTCTTTTTTAAGCAATTGAATGTGACTTGTCTGCAAGCTATACGTGTAAGGCCAAATCCCTTATTAATCTTTGAATCTGACCCAAGGGAACGTATTCGTAGAAGCCTGCCTATTACTCTACTTAAAGGCGTTACTTTACAGAGGCCCACACCTACACTGCCATGAGGTTTTCTATCGGCAAAGCGACTTGAAATGGAAACAATTCCTCCGTTTATGTTTGCAGAGCATACCAAACAGTCTAAGAGACGTCATTTGTGGGTAATGGGACGTTCACTTTAGTAAGTACAGTTTGGCAGTGGGTTATCTACACTAAAGATGAAATCCATAAATTATTTGGCAGACTCGAATGCTTCTTCCAGCCCAATCGTAAAAAACACGAACCTCCATTTACGACGGGGTCAGAAGAATTATTCAACTATGCAAAACTGGTTGTTAGCTAAGTGAGCCTGGTAGTCATCTGATTGGGACATCCCGCGCGAGCGGTAAATCTACCCCATAGGAACCTGTAGATTCTATACGTTGTGGTAGGTTGGGCTAGTAACTTGTCCCAAGTAGATCTAAACTCACGGTTGTCGTCGGGCCCTCATAGCTCAGATGCTAAGAGGATTGATTGCCTGCAAGCCTGGTACCTGCTATGATGGATTTGCGCCCCCACCCGTAGCCGCTGAATTTTTGAAAACTTTGATCATCAGAGGCATTTCTTATTCCAATAGGAAGTTTAAGTTCTATTTTCTGGAGTTGAAAGGTAAACACGGCTATAGTGGTCTCAAGGGTTGTACCGTGGCTGGTCTTTTAAGTAGAAGACCTCGAATCATATACTTTGCAGAAAGATCGCAGTAGGAACGCTGTCTCGACATAACATTTTTCTCAAACGACAGATGACGAGGAGGCGAGGTCTCCCCTTCTTTATAATTGGTAATACTGGGCGTTTTTAGCTGGAGGACACTTTTATCTATAAGACTGGTTACTGAACAAGATAACATGAGTACTAGGAGTGAAAAAAGCAACAGTCTTTCCAGAAATAGGAGGTTCGCACGTGACTGGTACCTACCTGAATCTCATCTGCATTGGAGGAGATATGTCGACCCCGGTCGGCCTTCGGTGGTGATGACTGAGTTCGGTTCAACGTCGTCGGGACAATAGTCCGCTGAGAGCGTACCCTGTCATCTGAATAGCCCTGGTTGAAAACTTGTCGAGGACTGTGCGCCGGGCTGGCTGCGGGACTTGCCTGCGCACTGCGGCTTCTCACCTGGATTTTTACAGTTCCAGCCTTCCGACCAGGAGCAATGTACTGGGGCTGAAATATCAACGGGATAAAGTGAAAGTGATCGGTCAAGAACGACACAATTAAAACGCGACAAAACCCATTTATGAAGGCTTTGTGTTCTGAATTAGGAAGATGGATTAACAAATTCCAGTGTGTAAAGGGCTCCAGAACTGTTTAATGGAGCTCAGGTTTTGTGACTAGTTAGATTTCTACGACAGCCTGCCATTAGGCATAGTGCTAATATTTATTATACAGATCCCTGAAAAATAAATTAAAATACTCACTCGATCCAGGAGGCCTAGATGGAGGACATCTTCAGAAAAGTACCAGGTGGTGAGATGAGTACTATTATTGATGTGTTAGGGAACATAACCTGCCCTAGAGTAATGTACCCAAGAACATAAGCTTACGATTTATTGGCAGGACCTTTCGGTATCGCATTACATGTAGAGAAAAGTGGCTATCCAGAAAGACAAGTGAGACAAGGATGACAATTTCAGGTTTAAGAGCCGCTAATCGATCAGCCTTAACCAGGACCAGGTTTGAAATATTTGGTGTTCCAAACGGGTTCTCTGGTCATTGAGCGGAAAGATCAAACTCTCTTACTTGACTGGCGTCCGTCCCTTGACCATTGTTTACATACTCGACCAAAAAGCCCAGGATAATGTGTCCGTGGCTCAATGGTTAGAGTGTTGGACTTCCAACGCCGAATCCGAGTCAAAACCTTAATTATCTCCAGACCTGGAGTTGGGAAAGGCTAGATGATGACAGCCAGAACCAGCTATGTTAGTCTACCTTGTCTTTTTCGCTAACTCCTCTCTTATATCTAATGGAAGTCGCAATGCGACTGCATGTGGTAATTCCAGATTGAGCCCCTAGGCACAAAGGGAAGAGCCCGTCCCGTTAAGTGATCCGTGAACTACTTTCAAACATATGATATATCGCGTTTATCATTCCCTATAAAAAGTCTAGATGAGGATGTGAAGGACGTGGAAGAGGAAGAGAAGAATAAGCCAAAAAGCGAAGGAGCTAAACTCATGAATTGATTCAAATTACGCTTCCTTCGATCTTATATCTGATTATTAAGAGGAAAAATCATACTGATAAGTGGCGTACTTCGAGTTTCCAGAACTGATATGCTCGGTCACTGCTCTGAGCGTGGAAGACAGAAATATCTGAAAGGATTCTTCCACTTCGTGGATACAATTCGCAACTTTG